AAAAAGTTTTCTAGGCCTAATTTGTTTGACCTTTTTGTAAACATTTCTATCTATGTCGGACATTTAGTCTATAAAATTAATTTTTTTGATATACAATTTTTATTTATAGTGTAAGTTTAGAGACGATAGTGCAATTTTTTTATCAGTACTTTTTCGATACAATATTATTTTTATCCGTGTTTAAGTTATAACCTTAACTATGTCAAAATTTATAAAAGTTAACAGTGTTGGTCTATATACCACATTTTACAACAACTCTGATTATTGAGGGGTGACAATTAAAAACTCAAAAATACCGGATTACTTTTTAATATAAGTAAAATTTGAGAGATTGAAAAGGGTAGCTTTTGATAGAATGGCACTAGAGGAAGTCTGATTCTAGACAACAACATTAGGTGGAATTACACTTATCTTATGTTGACTGCGGCCATTGTTCTAAAACTCGCTAGGCGCTAGTCGGGTGGTTGAGGGGCGCCTAGCGCCTAGGCGGCCGACTAGGCCGATTTTTTGGCCGACTAGGCCGATTCGGCCTCTACGGTTAGGGCCGACTAGGCCGCCTAGGCCGATTAATCGGTCCGCCTAGGCCGATTTTTAGAACAATGACTGCGGCTATGAAGCACAGGGTAGCTTTTGATAGAATGGCTGATGAAGACAAGCTATATGACAGTTACTTTCAAGAAGATGAAAAGGGTCAAAAAAGAGTTGGACCTCCAAAAGTTGAGGATTGGGAGAAGGTTCGTCGATTGGTAAGATTCTTGAAAATTTTCTACGACTCCACTCTATCTTTTTCTGCATCTAAAAGTGTGACATCGAGTAGTTGTTATAATGAGATATGCTCACTTGAAATGAATTTGAACTCATTAATTAACAACAAACTTGATGTAAACTTGAGTACTGCTGCAACTGAGATGAAGAAAAAGTTTAGCAAGTATTGGGAGGGAATGGAGATCAACAAGTTACTTATTGTTGCAAGTGTGTTTGACCCACGAAGTAAAATGACATTTGTAACTATTTGTTTGGAGAAATTGCATGGGAAGGATAGTAAGAAGTTTCTTGAAATGAAAGATGTGATAGTTGAGGTGTTGCGTAGGCTTTATGAAGTGTATTATGTTGTGCATGTCAATCTCACTAGTGCAATTCAATCTCAAAGTGATACTGGAAGTGTGAATCAGAGTTGTTTAGGTGAAACTGGTTCATCTGATTTTTTGAGTTTTGATGGTGATGATGGGTTTGAGAATCTGTTTTCAGAATATACTCAAATGGTAAGTGACACAGGAAATGTGGAAGAAACTTCTAATGAATTGGATATATACTTGATGGAAAAAATTGAATTGCCATCACGTAATAGGTTAGGTATGCAGTTTGATATTATGTCATGGTGGAAGGGACATAGTTCGAAGTTTCCAATCTTGGCTGAAATGGCAAGAGATGTTCTGGCAATTCCCGTTTCAACTGTTGCATCTGAGTCCGCTTTTAGCACAGGAGGTCGAATTCTGGACCCATATCGGAGTTGTTTAACTCCTCGTATGCTTGAAGCATTGATATTGACACAAGACTGGTTGCGCTCGTCTCTTGAATCAGATGCTAAAGTCAGCCTTCACCAAATAATAGAGGAAACTGAGTTCATGGATTCACTTGATCAAGGTAATTACTGATAATATATATATTATTAATTAATTTACTTGTCTCTTGAACTTGTTTAACTACTTAATACACTGTATTTTTCTGAAACCTGTTTTTTTTTGTAATGATATCCATAAAGCAAGTGAGGATGTAGGCTGATATTTGAGTTCACTGCTAGATGGAGAAGGGGACAGCAACGGACTGCTCTAACTCTCCCAGAAATGCTACTTGTGGCTGCTGATTTTAATGTTATTATGAACTTATTATCTTATGTAATAATGCTATTGTTTATTTTGTTGGGGAGTACAAATATTTGACATTTTATTTTGTTGGGCAGCAGTGGACTGCTTTAAGTCTCCCAGAATGCAGTAACTTCCCTTTGTTTTGCTTGGAATGAATGAATGATTTAGTTTGTAAAATTGTAGTTGCATGAATACCCCATCTTTGAAATGTAGGTTTGCACTATTCATAAATTGTATGGTAGGCTACCCAATATGAAGTACAAGATATTGATAGTGATTCAGGTTATCCAGCTTCATATATGGCTTCACCACTCTTCAGGAAGTATTACAAATAGTCAAACAACTAAGCTATTTGATGTTTCTGCTGCAGGTATGCATTCTTTTGTTTTCTTAATTTTGTCGGCCACTATGTGCTTCCGTTCAATTAATAATTAACTTATAGTGGCTTGTAATCTCTTGTTTCAGTTCTGATGTTGTATGTTGTTTCCCTACCCTCTTAGATGTTAAATGAAGTCATTTCATTGGTTTCAGTTCCATGGACCTTTTCTACCAAGATGGTTTCTAGATTCTAATGTTAGCATGAAGTCAAATAGACACAAGTGCATTTTCATAGTTCAACTAAAATTTTAGTCGTAATATATCTTGTCACATAGTGCCATAGTGGTCCTTTAATATACTTGGTCCTTTAATTTGTGGTAACAAGTCAATGTCTTTCCAAATTACTGTCTTATTAATCGGAAATCTGGAATAGATGCTTGGCAAGTATTTTAATATGCTTTGCAAATTGTATATGATTTATTTTATATTTTAATTTAATGCACACTGCTCTCCTAGTATTTTGTTTTCATTTAATCGGTTTAGTTTCAACTCAAACCAAACCGTTTCTAATTTGGTAAACCGAACACCAAACCGAACCAAACCGATTTATTTCCAAACCGAACCGAAACCAAACCGAAATGTAAACGGTTTTTGTTTGGTACATTTTCCGCCAAACCGAATAAACCGAAACCGAACCGAAACCGAATAAAACCGAACCGTAAACCGAAATGCCCACCCCTACACATAAACAAACACAATTCTAAGCTATCAGACACAAATTTTATTTCTGGTAATGGATGACCAAACTAAATCAGACTTAAACATACCTGGTGAGATCAGACTAGCCAATTTAAGCCCTATATTAAAAACATGCCAATTCATTCACTAAGAATATGAAAGTAGTATTTTATGATGTTTTAATTGGTTTGAAAATTTTGAGAATTAATCTAAGCACTCAAGCACCTCATAGTAGTCTCGCATTTAGGCGGGACTAGTCGGCCGCCGATCGGGTGCCTAGTGTGATTGGTAGAACAATGATATTTATTAAAAATCATTGCCCAAAATTTGTAATCATTGATGTAAATAACATCAATTTGGCCAAATTTTACACGATCGAGAGAGTATATATTTGTTATGAAAATTTTGATTTACTTTAGGAATTACATATATTGATGTTTCTATTGAAGGTTTTTTAAATTCATTATAATTCAATTAATGTGTTTATATATTATTACTTTTTCTCTTTATATTTTTGTTGCATACATCAGAACAAGAAATCTTTTTCTGGTATTTCCGTATGTTGTAACATTAAATTAATTAATTGTTCTTGTGATTGTTTAAATTTCAATTAAAACTACATTTTAATACTCACTCCGTGCCACTAAGATTGTTTTATCTTTCATTTTCGGTCCGTTCCAATAAAATTCTCTCAGGCCAAATTTGATAAAGTTTTTGTTGTTCTAAAGCATTCTTACTTGATCCTTACTTTATCAATTAAATACCAATCACATATACTCACTTTCTTAATAACAGTGTCACATCTTCATGTATCAATGCTAATAACGGTGTCACCTCTTCATGCCCCACATGAACTACACTTTAATACTCTCTTTGTCCTCTTCATGCTCAAATGATAGCCTGTCATGTTAGCCCTAGGATATATCTGGCCTCGCTGGAATCCCGCTCAGGCTCGAGGTCTGCTCTCCAGGCCTGCCTGGTTGTGGGTTCCCTTCGCGGGTAGAGTTCATAGTTAGGCCAAAAGGCTATTAGTTATTATCAATTTCGATTAATGGGATGTTCCTATTGATGGGCTTTACTTCAATTCGTTCTTGGGCCATGACTATGATGCATGGTACCTTGAAAAGGTTCAATAGAAACAATGTATGTAATTCCTAAAGTAAATCAAATTTATAGTAAAAAATATTTATTCTCTTAATCCTATAAAATTTGGCCAAATTAACTTTTTAAATGTAATGGTCATAAATTTTGGACAATGATTTTAGTTATTATCATTGTTCTATAAATTGCTTCAGGCGCCCGACTAGTCCCGCCTAAGTACTAGATTGCTATGTGGTGCCTAAGCGTTTTGAGTATAATCTAGCTAGATAACAACATCTCAAATCTGAAAATTTTCAAACCAATTAAAAACATTCTAAAAAAAAATTCACATTCTTAGTGCATGAATCAGTATGTTTTTAATGATAGGGCTTGAATAATTTTGTTGTCTGATCTCACTTGGTATGGTCACCGATTACCAGATATAAAATTTATGTCTTAGTCTATTATCATATTTGTGAGAAATTTATTTAATAAAGAACAACCTCATATAGTTTTCACACTTTAAATAATTTTGTTCTAAAAATATCACCAGTCACACTTGGTCTTCACTAAATAAAATAAGAGTTATTATGACCAAGTTTTATTAATCGAGCGAGTATAAGATTAGGAATTAATTGGATTAATTGTATAATTCTAAAAATAAATCATTGAGTAAAAGATTTATCTTTACATACCATGTACTTTACAAAGCTCTTTGTCTAAGTTGATGTCTGGTATTTGTTCGAGATTTTTCATGTGGCGTACAGGAGTATTATACTACTAGCACGTAGTTTATTTTAAGTTTTTCTTCTTCTAAAATTGTACTTGTATATTTTAATTTGATAACTACGGAGTATTATTTAAACGTAAAGGGAGTATTTTTCCAGGGCATGAGCGGATGAGCCGTATTACGTGCTCATTAAAGAGCACACAACGTGCTTAGTAAAATTTTCGGTTGACTCACTCCTTTTCCCAACGAAAAGGTTAGAATGTACTCCGTATCAAACTGTCAAAGGACTTTTGTCATTTAAGAATTGCTTTAAGAATTTGATTATCTCTAAAACTAATGAAATGACATAATGAAAGAAAGAAAGCGAACTTTTATAGAGGGTTATAGAGGACACCGAACAAAGCTGGGTCGCAATGTACAAAAAGATAGAGAGCAAAACAATACTTGAATAACATTCTTGAGATAATGGAAATAATGGATAAATATAACGAAAACTTGAAGCTCTCCCTGGGATTTTCAAACGGGACACATCTTGATGGTGGTGCTAGGGCTTCTGCTTCTGCAAGAAGGGTCCTAAGCCAATTGTAAGGGCAGATGATGGTGATGTCAGAGCAGCCTTCAGTAAGCTCATTGCCTGTTAGCACGGATCAAGAATATTTGTGAATGAGTTAAACGTGGATCATGTGCTCAAATGATTGGAATGTTGTATAATTAAAAACATGACTTATTGGATGCTAAGAGCCCAAGAAATGTATTAATGTAGCCAGGTAGGTGGAATGGATATGAAGGTCAAACCGTGCTTAATTACTTACTTCCTTCATACCGATAGTGACCCATTGCACCTCTGTCTGATTGAAAGAAATTTCCAATTTGTTTAGTAAGAGGTAACTGGAAGAAACAGAAAGAGGCTTCACTTCAAAATCATCAGAAACAAAGAACATTGATGGTTCCACAGCAAAATTATCGCTGCCCTTTGGACTTAGCAGTTTCGTATCTAAAGGTTCAGAACGGAGAGATTTGATAGGCTGCTTCTTGCAGTTATGATCTTGCGCAACACAAAGGTCAAGTAAGCCACTTTTATTTGAGGAACGGAACCACTTCTGATCTAACTCCACAATACTCGTGTACAGGTTATCCATGCATTTTATACCTGATTGTCCTTTAAGAATGCATACGGTTAATCCAATGGGAGTGGTCAGAAAGGTGCACAGGAAATCAAAGAACTCATCGGTTGCTTCACCAAACAATATCTGCTTTGTAGACTTGACACATGACACCTTAAGATTCAGAGTAGGACCATTCTGTTCAGTAGTCTCAAGCGGGACAACAGGTGATGATGAAATAGTCGCCCCGAGTTTAGATGGCTTCACTTGGGTTCCGACTGTTTCAAATGCAGGATCTTTTGTCAGAAAGACGTCGCTTAATGGAGATTCAGAAACCAGTGAGCGTGCAAGCAGAAGGATCAGCTGCAAACAAAGAGAATTCAAAATTGTATTAGAGCCGCTCAATTAGCACACTTGGCATCCCACTGGGAAGCTAATTCAACTCACTGCCCTTACTTGCCCTGTATGAGAGTTTCTAACATTATGAGAAGCTTTTTAATATGACACTAATTCATGTAAGGAAATTATCCTAAATAGAAGAAATATAATGTGACTCCGTATTTATTTCTCTAAATAGAAGTAATGACATACACAAGAATTTGAAAATTGATAGAAGTTCAAAAAAAATACTTCTGTTTAGGGAAACCCTTTTATTCAGATCCTATTCTTACAAAATTTTCATTACTATTTTATTAAACAACGATGAAAATAAGAAGGGAAAATGGAAACTAATAATCCAACCTTTTAGCGGTCTTCTTTTAATAATCTCACCTTTTGATTATTCATAAATAATCCAACCTTTGCACCACATCTTCATTCACTGGTCCTTGACCGGTTGATGACCTGTTATTCCAAACTATTTTCTTATCTTTGCAAATCATTATACCATAAATTTCATCTTTCACAAAGATAATATTTTGCAAAGATAAGAAAATAGCTTGGAATAGCAGGTCATCAACCGATCAGGGACCAGTGAATGAAGATGAAGTGCAAAAGTTGGATTATTCATGAATAACCAAAAGGTTGGATTATTGTAAGAAAACCGCTAAAAGGTTGGATTATTAGTTTCCATTTTCCCAAATAAGAATTATTGTCCTTAAAGTTCAATACTTGCAATACAGTGGAGGATATGCGGGGCTTAACAATGTTGAGAGTTGAGACAGATGCAACAATATTTTCACAACTTAGAAAAAAAGTTACAAAATAAAATAAATAAAATTTTCAATAGAATGTGCAAATTTTGTGTACCTCACAAATCATTCCTATGTCTCAAAAAACTAAGGAGTAAAAGTGTAACGCCCCTCTCAGGGTTAACGGAAACGTTACACTAACTTACTACTTTTAAAAATAACTGCAATATAATGGCCATCTATTTAAGAAAATAACCCTGATAAAATCTCAAATATAACTAAAATATAGCTCCAAATAAAAACTCAATAAAATCTAGTTATCACCAGCAAATGTGATAACCACCTGGATCCAGGAATTTATTCAAACTTCAAATAATCCAAATAAATACTCCAAACTTAATCAAATAATATCAATCACTTTTTATAAAATTGAAACACTTCAATAAAATAAACTAGCTAGGAGCCGCCAAGGTCGTTCCCGTTAACTCATCTTGGCACGCGTTCCACTCTCTCATCATCTTCCTAGGCCTTGGCCTTACCTTTACTATCTGTACATGCGAAGAAAGAAAACTGATAAGCTTTACGCTTAGTAAGTCACTATGGCTCCACAAAAATATCTAGAAGTCTATGCCAATTTATCAATAGATAAATTTAGGCTATAAGCATGCACTGAACAATTAACTAACACATAACTTCTCAAATACATTCTGAGAGAGATCTCAAAGGAAAATATTTTCTAAAATATTTTTTCTCAAAACTGCTGGAGAGATCTCAAAATTTCTTTCTCAAAACATCTCTGTAAAACTTTCTGAAAGAGATCTCAACACAACTTTCTGTAAAACTTTCTGAAAGAGATCTCATAAACTTTCTGTAAAACTCTTTGTGGCTAATTTTAACTGTGGGCCCGTGATATGTACTCAAAGGCGCCAATCCGACAGCTCAGGGGAGCGACCCACTAAACATATCGGACTCTCTGAAACTGATAAGCTGATAACTGATAAACTGAGGGAACTTGTTCCCGAGTACATATCACCTGATCTTTCACTTTAAGTATTAGTTCTTTTTATGGTGACGTTTGACTAAAAATACCATTTATTCTGAAACAAAAGTACTGACAAATCTTGACTATGCCAGATAATAAACATAACTTAATCTAGCAAATAACATAACTCATCACATAATTCACATAGTTCACATAATAGCAAATAGTCTAAAATTATCTATTAAAAATCAACCAGACTTCTTTCTTGCATTTGGTTGAACAAACATGTACAGGTGGTAGTGAACTTACCTGTAACAGCTGAACTCAAAATACTCAGATAAATTTGGCACCTTGATAACGTCTTCCGATAAGCTCTTCTCTTACATCTTTATTTAGAATAGTCAAAAATTTAGAATTCTTGTCTAATGAGTCAAATAGCTAAAACTTTAAATTTCCAGTCCTACTGTTAAAAGCACAACCATAATCTCCAAGTTAGCTTTACAACAACTTCAGATTTTCAAAATACCAGTATGCCGCAGTTCATAACCCCTTCAATTAAATACTAGCATAGAAGTCAGTTCTCTCTTAATATAAAAATACTGCTGCTGCAATACTTATGAAGAGTTCTTATATTTTGAAATCTATTTGCAGCAACTTATAATCCAGATTATTCCTTATTAACCCCAAAGCCACATAACCTGCCCTCAAAACTAAAATACGCACATGCAGCCTGGGGTTTTAAATACGACAGCAACAAAATCAATTTAATCTTACGTAAAAGGCTGCACTTAGGATAAATTTTCAAGCAGGAATGAATCTACTGCTGGACACTTCGATGAAAATAACTAGAATAGAAGGTTTCTCAAAATTGATTACTTTTGAAACGTCTGCTTCATATTAACATGAGGAAACTGTAACAGAGTTGAACCTCAAACTCAAATCAACACAGCCTAATGCATAACGAACCAGGAAGGATTAAATTAGAAATTTTGATTAAAATTCAGTTTGTTAAAGAAAACTTGAAAATCTGATTTAATAGGCGCACCCCCAAAAGTCTAATTGACTCTACGTTGATAAATAATAGAAGTAATAGAACCAATTGAAACCTGAGAAAATCGAGTTTGCAAAATATACTTACAAGTGTGAGGACTTTGCTTCAAGGCACAATTGAAAAGAAAGAAGCTTATGAGCAGGGGCGGAATGGGTGGCGCTAGAGTTATGCTTCATCTTTAAAAGCTGGTAGGTTTATACGTATACATATATAAATCTTCCTAGGGATTTAGTTTAAAAGAAAATTATTTGGGCTAAAATAATCCATTCGGGCCAAGATAACTGATTTGGAGTTTTAGCCTGCTAAATAATTTTTTTTTTTTTCTGACCCGACTAAGTTACTGTATTATTTCTTTCTTTGATTAAAATTATTATGAGCTTACCGGTCAACGTTACCTGCCAGTTAACACATGATCAAACAACAAATCACATTATTCATAAAACAAACTTATTTTAACAGACTAAATAAATAACTATGATAAAAGATCAATATAACCAGCTCACTAAAATCGGGGTGTTACAACTCCTCTCACCTTATAAAAGTTTCGTCCTCGAAACTTAGAACAACTCGGGATACGGACATCTCACATTATTTCTTTTCTGACTTCATATCTCTTAGAAAGTTACTTTACTTTAGGAGCATGTGACTTGCTTCAAATTCATATTGGCATTTCTTCTAATTACCAATCTGATCAAGTTACTCTTATTGGGGAGACATACTAGTACTTAAGACTACACAAGGATCTCAACAACTTCTTAATAATTGACCTTAATAAGAAAACTTGCCTCAATACTCTCATGTTTTCTGTTAACACTACAACACAAACTCACAAGCTCACAACGTAGAATATGTACATTAATTACTTTTCCCTATTTGCTAATTAAAATGAAAAGAAAGACAATAGTAAATTAGAAATATTTCCAAACTAAAACATCTTAGGGGCTTAAAATATAAACTCAAGTTTGAGGTTCTGCCTGCGCAAATTCCAGGACTAAAACTCTAAGAAATCAACTATGTAGCTGACAAAACAAAATGCTTTCACGTTACAATAAAAGAAGATTGTCCATATTTTGAAATAAAACTCCACTTAGAACAAATAGACCATGCCTCTAATGCAGTAGACAATTTCATTATCAAATTTTAACATTTTCTTTCTTAAGTATCAAGTTTCTTCCAATTTCTTAAACAACTTAAAACTCTTTAATTAAGGAAATCGATCTGCCTTCAAAGAAGATAACAAATGGTGGTGTTGCTTTATAAAAGACTTTTAAACATTAGGAACGGTGAGAATTAATCCCATATAGTAGAAAATTTATCTGTGGAGCATAGATTTCTTATACTTCAATTGGATTTTCAAAACAGGTCTTACATTTTCCTCATGTCAAACATAATTAGAGGAAGAGGCAAAATAAAGAATCGTAAGGATAGCATATGAAAATTAATACCTGAAACCAGTTTATTATCGAGGAAAACAAACTTTCACTAGTTAGAGATGGTAATCAAAAACTCAATCAGTAGCTTGGTTCAGCCGATTGAAAGAGGAGAAGAATTTTGAGAAGGAGAACTGAGATTTCTTTGTAGAGAAAACAGAGAGGTGGCATGCGGCTAGTAGGAAAGGAAGTGTTGCTTCTCAAGGGACTTTAAACAGATGCTTTTCTTTTTAAGAATTTTATTCAAAGTAAAATTAAACATCAAGGCTGGTCCAATATTACATTTTCGAGTCTACTAATATTTAATTTGACTTACCTATTATAAAAAATATCTCTTTGGGGTTGGGAATTGGCCTTTAGGGGTTTTGGTGAAGCGGAAAGAAGCGGAGTTGGATAACTTGGATTTGGGATTTTCAATTTTGGGTCATGTTTCAAATTTTAGGCTTCCCTGGAGTGATGGAAGACTTGTGCGGACTGCGGATGAATGGACTAACGGACCAAAACTGTTCCATATTACTCCCTCAGTAGAGTCAGTACTACTACAATACTACTCCTCAGTCCTCACTTCTATAAGGTTTTGTTTGTAATCAAATATTCCTCAGTCTTCACTTGTATAAGGTTTGAAATAGTTTTAAACTACTAAACTCTTTCTTTATCTTTTCATAAAACAAAAACTCTACTGTGGCCCTATACTTCTGGAACTCAAAATTTTAACTTACTTGATTAGTATGCTGAAGTAGTCATGAAAGCTGAATCTAGTTTGTAATTAGAATTTCTTTTTTTTTTATCTTAAAATTTGAGCTTGAACAAACATAACTATTTGTAATCAGACGGTCCCTTCAATCCTTGAACACAAATTATTAATTGAAACTAATAGCCTCAATATCTAGGGAAAAATCTTTTTGGACTCCCTCTAAAAATCAGTAGGTGGGTTAGCATTGAAATGTCAACTTTAAAAGGGGATTGTTTGCTTAGTTTCAAATTTTCATGTTTCTTAAACACAAGACATCATTAATGTTCTGTTTAACACAAATTGACATTGTCAAACACATAACTGTCTAACACAAAATACTTGACAACAGACATTCTATGGTTCTCAACTATAACTATAACTCTATCACTTTGCTTCCTTATTCAGCCGTAGAAGAATTAAGTAAAGTAATATGTTTTTTTTTTTTTTTTTTTTACTATTTTTCACTCACACAGGTCCTTCTAAAACTTTAACTCCTAACCATTTTCTTTTGGAAAATATTGCTCTCTCATAGAGTCATAGTGGTAAAATTTTCATATTTTTCTAGAATAATAACGTAGCAAAACATAATACATAATTTCTCATAGCATCTGACAAATGATTATCCACTAAATCATCGAGTAATAAACTGTACATGGTCGAATCTAAGACCAACTTAGGCTGAATAAAGAAATTTTCTGCAATAAAATCCTAACTCAGAATCTTGTTTTTTTTTTTACAGAGGTTCTTTATTATGCTCTGTAAATTTCAATTGGAAGTAATAAATTCATCGAAAGATCTATTAAGCTGATCAAAGGATCTACACTAATACCTTTCAAAAGAAAATCTAACATCATCGTTAGGCAGTTCTTATTGGTTTCATATATTCTTAATTTGACTGACACTAATTTGATCAATTAAAATATCACATAGTACTCTTACTCCGCTGTTGGGGTTCAAGCTCTTGAGTTGCTGATTAATAATAAAAGAATGGTTTGTGGTACCAAACTCTATACTTTTTACTCCCAAGAATGCTTCTAATACTCAAAGAGCATATCAGCTACTAGCTCAAGCTCATTGGGATACTGTCTGCAATTACTTGTACATAATGGCTATAAGGGAGCTTGAATGTACCATATTCTTTATTCTATTGAATTTTTCATACTCTAGATCATACTGTATGGAAACACACTTCACAAATACCCATATCATAGTGTGCAGCAGGTTCTAAGACTCGTGATTTACCAGAAACTAGTTTAATCTAATCCTTCCACTCATCCCTACTCATCCCTTCTAATCTGACTTCTAAGAACCGGATACTATAAAAAAAAACTTTGAATCACGTATATAGACTTTATTGGCCGATCATAGTAAGAAAATTTAAGTGATGGCACTCAATTTATTTTGGTAACCAAATGGTAAAAATCATATGAGGACAACCTTGGTAAAAAGAATGTACAACACTGTTTAAATCTCAGTGCCTAAGGCTGAGAGTACTCGAAAATTTCTTTGGGACATTCTAAAACTCTAAATTTCTTCTGAAACATACTTTTGAAGAAATAGCTAAATACTATACTAATATATCACTTAAAAAAAACTACTTATTCGACTTTTAGTAAAATAATTGTCATTTGATTCATCATTAATCACTAAACGCATTTAATGATTAATAAACACACTCTAATACTTATTTTAAAATAAGCATTTTTTACAACTAAAAGACGACATATAATCTGACCATTGATCATATTAAAGCGATGTCCGGCCACCGGTATCTCCTATTGGAACCATCAAATTGATGAGGGGCCCTCTCAGCAACTCAAGATTCCAAACATGAAATACCGACGCTCAATGCTCTAGAAAAATTATGCAGCTTATGATACTGTTGATAAAACATATGAATCCATTATTAAAGAGTTTTCGAAATCTATAGTGGAGCTGCAACCTTTCACGTACGAAAATTAAGCTAGAAATTATAACTCCTTTAATTTTATTCATTTTTTGTTTATTTTCACAAATATAATAAGATTTTGTATAGAATGTACGCATGGGCATTTTTAAAATAATTTCAATTAATAAATAAATGAAAATACATAACAAATTAATTTGTATGCTTATGGAAATTCTTCATCTCATGTAGCTCAATTACATGTGAAGCTTTAAAAAAACAGACAAACTCATTACCATCCTTCTTAAAAAAATTAACAAAACATAGACCATGAATAAACTACAAGCTATATAAAAAGACAGCTGGAATAGCACTGCTTGTGACATAATTCATTTACTCAATCATGAGAAAATAAAGACTATGACACTTTATTATTATTTTTTTCAAATCAACTCGGATTTTAATCATGGGTAATCTCTATATATGAGGAATATTTGCTCTGTAAGATCAACAGAGGCTAAAAAAAATGGAAGGCTACAGATACTTAATTATGAAGGTGTATGACTTGAACGATAGTGTTTTTAGATAACAACCCTAAGTACTTCTTAAATGAAGTAGAAGACCTAACTCAAGAATATAGGCACTCGAATAAATTTAATCTGAATAACTCATAACAACACAGAGGTTTACGAGTTGAGTACTTCTTACTCTTACTTGACTTTTCTATCTATCTAATACCAACAACACTCAAACATATTCTACTAAATGACTTTTAACATAAATAAGTACTTACTTGGAAGATGACGAGCACGTGTACGGTGACAAATGAAGTTACGGGACAACCTGGGCTCTGATACCAAATTTGTAACGCCCCTCTCAGGGTTAACGGAAACGTTACACTAACTTACTACTTTTAAAAATAACTGCAATATAATGGCCATCTATTTAAGAAAATAACCCTGATAAAATCTCAAATATAACTAAAATATAGCTCCAAATAAAAACTCAATAAAATCTAGTTATCACCAGCAAATGTGATAACCACCTGGATCCAGGAATTTATTCAAACTTCAAATAATCCAAATAAATACTCCAAACTTAATCAAATAATATCAATCACTTTTTATAAAATTGAAACACTTCAATAAAATAAACTAGCTAGGAGCCGCCAAGGTCGTTCCCGTTAACTCATCTTGGCACGCGTTCCACTCTCTCATCATCTTCCTAGGCCTTGGCCTTACCTTTACTATCTGTACATGCGAAGAAAGAAAACTGATAAGCTTTACGCTTAGTAAGTCACTATGGCTCCACAAAAATATCTAGAAGTCTATGCCAATTTATCAATAGATAAATTTAGGCTATAAGCATGCACTGAACAATTAACTAACACATAACTTCTCAAATACATTCTGAGAGAGATCTCAAAGGAAAATATTTTCTAAAATATTTTTTCTCAAAACTGCTGGAGAGATCTCAAAATTTCTTTCTCAAAACATCTCTGTAAAACTTTCTGAAAGAGATCTCAACACAACTTTCTGTAAAACTTTCTGAAAGAGATCTCATAAACTTTCTGTAAAACTCTTTGTGGCTAATTTTAACTGTGGGCCCGTGATATGTACTCAAAGGCGCCAATCCGACAGCTCAGGGGAGCGACCCACTAAACATATCGGACTCTCTGAAACTGATAAGCTGATAACTGATAAACTGAGGGAACTTGTTCCCGAGTACATATCACCTGATCTTTCACTTTAAGTATTAGTTCTTTTTATGGTGACGTTTGACTAAAAATACCATTTATTCTGAAACAAAAGTACTGACAAATCTTGACTATGCCAGATAATAAACATAACTTAATCTAGCAAATAACATAACTCATCACATAATTCACATAGTTCACATAATAGCAAATAGTCTAAAATTATCTATTAAAAATCAACCAGACTTCTTTCTTGCATTTGGTTGAACAAACATGTACAGGTGGTAGTGAACTTACCTGTAACAGCTGAACTCAAAATACTCAGATAAATTTGGCACCTTGATAACGTCTTCCGATAAGCTCTTCTCTTACATCTTTATTTAGAATAGTCAAAAATTTAGAATTCTTGTCTAATGAGTCAAATAGCTAAAACTTTAAATTTCCAGTCCTACTGTTAAAAGCACAACCATAATCTCCAAGTTAGCTTTACAACAACTTCAGATTTTCAAAATACCAGTATGCCGCAGTTCATAACCCCTTCAATTAAATACTAGCATAGAAGTCAGTTCTCTCTTAATATAAAAATACTGCTGCTGCAATACTTATGAAGAGTTCTTATATTTTGAAATCTATTTGCAGCAACTTATAATCCAGATTATTCCTTATTAACCCCAAAGCCACATAACCTGCCCTCAAAACTAAAATACGCACATGCAGCCTGGGGTTTTAAATACGACAGCAACAAAATCAATTTAATCTTACGTAAAAGGCTGCACTTAGGATAAATTTTCAAGCAGGAATGAATCTACTGCTGGACACTTCGATGAAAATAACTAGAATAGAAGGTTTCTCAAAATTGATTACTTTTGAAACGTCTGCTTCATATTAACATGAGGAAACTGTAACAGAGTTGAACCTCAAACTCAAATCAACACAGCCTAATGCATAACGAACCAGGAAGGATTAAATTAGAAATTTTGATTAAAATTCAGTTTGTTAAAGAAAACTTGAAAATCTGATTTAATAGGCGCACCCCCAAAAGTCTAATTGACTCTACGTTGATAAATAATAGAAGTAATAGAACCAATTGAAACCTGAGAAAATCGAGTTTGCAAAATATACTTACAAGTGTGAGGACTTTGCTTCAAGGCACAATTGAAAAGAAAGAAGCTTATGAGCAGGGGCGGAATGGGTGGCGCTAGAGTTATGCTTCATCTTTAAAAGCTGGTAGGTTTATACGTATACATATATAAATCTTCCTAGGGATTTAGTTTAAAAGAAAATTATTTGGGCTAAAATAATCCATTCGGGCCAAGATAACTGATTTGGAGTTTTAGCCTGCTAAATAATTTTTTTTTTTTCTGACCCGACTAAGTTACTGTATTATTTCTTTCTTTGATTAAAATTATTATGAGCTTACCGGTCAACGTTACCTGCCAGTTAACACATGATCAAACAACAAATCACATTATTCATAAAACAAACTTATTTTAACAGACTAAATAAATAACTATGATAAAAGATCAATATAACCAGCTCACTAAAATCGGGGTGTTACAAGAAGTGGGGTACCTCAGCCTTGGAAACATTAACACACATCTCCCTGATTCGAGTGGCTTCTTTAGAACCGGTGTTGGGCATAAGTTGAGCAACAAACTCCGCAGAGGCAGGCCTGACCTGTAAATCGTCAGTGATTAAGAACTCTATTGCTCCCTTCAAAAAGGCTCCCTCTTTACTCGAGGCATTCCAATCAGCTGGCTTCTTTTCTTTGGGGTAGGTGGTCTTCCCTTTGCCACATTTGCAGCTGATCTCTTTGTAAATACTATGATATCCAGCGCACCAGCAGCAGCTGTAAGTGAAATCGGATCCAGAATCATCAATATTAATCTTCAACTTCCTGAAGTAATACGCTAGGGGATTCCTGGGATTAAGAAGCATGCTCTTGCAGTATTCTGTCTGCCAGTACTCAGTGCTTAGCTTTTGAACACCTTCGTATAACTTGTTCATACACCCTACTGCTACAGATGTGGGTTTCTCTTCTGCGGAGGTGCTGGTGATGAGTCGGATAATGGTTCCCATCGGAAAGGTGAAAAAACTGAAAAGTGTGTCCACAAAATCTCTGTTCGCTTCCGCGGCCACTACTCGATAGTTCTTCTCATCTATTAACAAATTCAGGGATAACACTACGGGCTCTGTCTTGACCGCCGCCATGAATACGGCACACTTACGCGTAAGATTCTTAATCGGGAAAACAAAATAGAATTTATCCGGCGACTTCCACACTTATTTAAAGCGCAAATGGAAGAAGAAGCTGAAAAGGCCTTTGGTTTCAATTGCATCGTGTGTGTGAAATTCTCATTGATTTGTAGTTATTACGACTGCCACTTGGGCCGAGCAAAACCCGATCCGACCCGAAAAACCCGATATTTTGTTCGGATATTATCCGAACCGAAGTGGATATCTGACCCGAAAAACCCGAAACCGAAAATCAGATTAGTATTGGGCCTAGACCGGGTGGCGGGTGCCGGGTAGGGTTTGTGAAATCCCAACCCGACCCGCCCGAATATCCGAAATATATGTTAGTGTGTACTTTGAATATTTAAATTAATACTTGTGTTCAATTATTTGTGTAATTATTTGTGCAATTTGTATTAAATTATTTGTGTAAATTGAATGTGTAGTGAACTAGTGTGTACAATTTTTGTTAAAGTGGCATTCCAACACTTTAACTATCCAATTATAATGTGTTTTGATATAACCAAAATATCCGAAATATATTAAATTATGTAGTGTGTACTTTGAATATGTTAAATTAATACTTGTGTTCAATTATTTGTGTAATTATTTGTGCAATTTGTGTTAAATTATTTGTGTAATTTGGAGGTATAGTGCACTAGTGTGTACAATTTTTGTAAAAGTGACATTTAAACACTTTAATTATCCAATTATAATTTTTTGTAATATAACCGAAATATCCGAAACCCGACCCGATATCCGATAATATCCGACTTAAAAATATCCGAAAAACCCGATTTAAAATATCAAAGGGTCGGGCCTAGTGTTTAAATTAAAAAACCCGAATGGGTTTAGGGTTCGCAAACCCGACCCGCCCGAACCCGACCCGTGCACACCACTGCCACATTCGCAATCAAAGTGGAATTAAAAAAAACAATCCAGAGGTACACATTTTCATACACACACCTACACACTCATGTTTGTGAAGAGTATTTTTTTGTCTGTATACAGACACAACACATTTTCAAATATGTTATGTCTGTATACAGACAAAAAAATATTCTTCACAAACATGAGTGTGTAGGTGTGTGTATGAAAAATGTGTACCAATAGATTTTTTGTAAAAAAAATTAGTAGTGTAGGCGTGTAGCTGTTTATTCGGACACAAAATCGTCAAATTAGTAGTGTGTGCGTGCCTTTGTTTCCGGGGAAAAAGGGTTAAATAGGGTCTCCAACTTACATAGTCAAATAATGCTCTGTCGGCCATCGTCGTTTGGGGTGGTTCCCGATATATTTTTTTGGTGAATTTTTTTGAGCATTTTATTCACTAAATCTTGTTTACTCATACCAAATTTCAGCTAAAAGTGCAATCGGGAAGGCATTCAAATAAATTCTTGAAGATAATTGTGCAGTTATCTTCAAGAATTCATTTGAATGCCTTCCCGATTGAAGTTTTAGTTCAAATTTAGTATGAGTAAACTAGACTTAATGAGTAAGATGCTCAAAAAAATTCATCAAAACATTCCACCGAGAACCGCTCCAAATGGCGTCGGCCAGACAGAGTCTCCTATATAAGGCCTTATTTGACCTTTTATGTAAGTTTGAGGCCCTATATGACATTTTCCCCTTGTTTTAGGATATCGTAACATGTTGGTTGATGGTGCCGGGTATAGTAGATTGTATTGTCCCCGAACTGAATCCCATTTACAATTGTTGGAAAAATTATATACTACAAAGTACTAGTACTTCATACATAATTTGTGTTAAAGAGTCATTTTCGAGCATAATTTTTTGAGTGGGTGCACTACCAATGTGGCTCAAGCCGAAGTGGATTCGATCTTCCCTTGATAAAGAGTTCGATTCGATAATGGGTGAACGCTACAATTGATTTTCAAAGTTCACTCATTGAAAGAGGGTAATTGGAAAAAGAACGAGTGTCAAGTGAGGATTCTCTCACATATATTGAAAAACAAGGCATTTGCACCACCTTGTATATGAGATCTTCTTAAAGTTGTTAACATTGTAAAACAGAAAGGTTCTCTCCACGTGGAGGGGTGCAAACCAAATCCCGAAACGGAAAAGAAAAATCGCGATATCTGGGCCTCCTGCTAGATATATTGCGTAATTTTGTTTAAAACTTGTATGAGCATTGTAGTCATGTATTTTGCATGTTAACACAAATTCCCATAATACTATGCAGAAATAAAAATATGTTAAAACCCTAAAAAAAGGAGCAGATGTTAACAATTTTTTAAATATGAGTTTTTTAATTTGTTATTGGACAAGATTACAAGAATACCCCTATATAGACTCTTAAGTGTGCTACGGTCACTGTAATGCCGCCTCTGACCACCGGCCACCGGTAACAGGAGCTCTGCCGCCGCCACCGGGAATGGGTTTTCAAGAATGAAGACGGCAACCAACGGGCTCCATTGGCGACAGCTACCTCTTCATCGGCAACGGGGACCACAGCTTTGTCTTCAACATTGGTCATCCGAGAAGGTGACTTTAAGGCAGTGAAGTACTGAAGTCGCCGGCGGCCGGGGAAAAAATGAACTTGTGAAATTGACCGACGGTTGTTATATGTTCTTTTGTGTTTTTGTGTCTATTTAGCTGATAAGAAAGAAAGGAAAGTAGGAAACCATAAAATCTGGACACAGGAAGAAAAGATAAGAGGGTGGTCTGTTGGAGAATAAAGGTCTGGACTTTGGACAAGAATGCCCCACGAGAGAAGAAAGGAAAAGAGGGTGAAAAGGAAAAAAAAAACAGAGAAAAGGAAAAAGGAAGAAAGAAAATGAAAAAAAAAAAGTAAAATAATTCACCTCACCATTTCAACTGGGAAACGGGAATGTTACCTGTTAAATTATACGGAGTAGATTTGAACGTTTTTATATATTTCAAGGTTCTAATTAAGGGGTGTTCCCAATATGGATTTTTGGATTTTAAAGGAATTTAGAATTCCATCAGAATATAGGTATTCTCAATTTGGATTTGTACGTTGAAAGTTTTGGTGTTCTCAAATATTCTATGGATTTTGGAGGAATCTTACCCACAAAACATTCTGGCCGAAATCTCTCGTACACCCCTCTGATTTTGGAAAATTGTAAGAAAGAAGAGACATAACAGACAATAGGGTTGGGCAAAAATACCGAAAAATCGGTATACCGCACTTACCGTGCCGAAAACTATCGGAAAATACCGGAATATTGGTATACTGTCATTTTCGGTACGGTATGATACCGTACCGATTTATTTCGGTACGGTAACGGTAAATGTTTTCAAATACCGCGGTATACATACCGGTATAATACCGTACCGACTCCCTACCCAAAAATTACTTTAAATTCTAAAATATTGTAAAAGTCCATTACAACTTTGAAGCCTAAACTTAATACTTAGTTGGTTACAAATATCAAAATACAAAAATAAAGGTTCAATTTCCCAAACCCACTATAACCTTCTAGGCTTCTATAGGATCTATTACGTAACATTCAAATAAACTACCCTAATGAGTAATGAGAAATGTACTAATGTCTAGAAACAAGTCCGAGTGTGAGCCGCTGACGAGAGTATCTACATATATAGGGATTCCACGAGTGAAAACATACAACTTTGTCCGAAAGTCTTATTTAAATATTTTTTTAAAATTATAAAATGACTAAATACACAATCATATTAGGAATAAATGATTTTATATCATATTGTTTGAAAAAAATTATTTATTTTTGTTAGAGGTCACTATTGATTTAATTATATCTATATTATTCAAGTTATTTTAGAAGAATGTATTACTCCCTCCGTCCCTAAATAAACTTCCAACTTTCCTTTTTCGTCCGTCCCAATTAAAACTTTCACTTTCCTTTTTTGGCAAAGAATTTGTGGTTCACAACAATTTTTACACATGTTTCTCTTCTTTGCACAACTCTCCACCACACAATACGCACTATCTTAAACTGTCTGCCAAACCAATATGGAAGATAAATTTGGGATGGAGGGAGTACTTTTTAATACGTGGCATCAATCAGGTTATCCGACTGCTAGTGCGTTCACTGGTTTCAAAATCTGCTTTAACAGATGTGTTTCTACGCAAAATGGGAGCTTTGAGCCTACCTGGCCTACCTTCGATATCCCAGGAAAAAGTGGCTTCCTTATTACGTGCCATTGTGCTGGAAAGTAAAAGTGCTCCACAATTGAATCTCAAAGTGACATTAAACAAATCTACAAACAAGATACTGTTTGCAGAAGCCACAGATGAGTTCTTTGATTTCCTGTGTACCTTATGACCATTGACGCACACTTTGTCGTGGTGTGCACTCAAAATAATAATACAATACAACAATTATACGTAGTATAATGAAGTAAGGTTCGTATCCACAGGGAAAGGAATACTTCTCTCTTTATAAACTAGTAACAAGGGGGGGTTAGATTGAGTAAATGAACTTAAATTATATTTAAACATGAAGATGAACGAGTTATGTGGTTTAATCAATAAGAAGGAGACTTGGCTTTGCTTTTATCCACTTAATGAAATGTTCGTCGATCCCGGTTATGTCTTTAACTATCTTCCTCTCGAATACTCAATCAAGGAGTATATCCAGTTCATCGAGGGTAGTTATTAATAACGAGATGCGTTCATTAATAAAACTTACTATCGAGTCAATATAGAACAAGCGCCGTATATTAGCGGTTTATTGGTTTAATCAATATAATTAATTCCTCTTGGTTTATTAACCATGAAAAGCATGCATTAACAACCCAAGTTTACTACCATTGAAAGAACCGAGTTAATAACAAGCGTATTAATCCGATTGATTCTAGTAATAATTAATATATGAAACAAAACTAATTGATCCTTTAAGCAATGCTCAAATATTATTATGGAATATGAATAGGAAGTAATTAATATTCAAGGAAGAAGATTAAAGAAAATAACTCACAACTTACAAATCATTAAGCTTCAAAATAGCAAAACCAAGATGGAAGTGTTTAGCTCCTCATTTGGAGACTAAACATGAAGAAAATATAAAGAAATAACTTGTCTAAACTGAGCTTAGAAGTATATAGGAATTGGTGTCTTTTTGTGGAGGAAATGGGGTGT